TCATGCTCCCTCAACTTCCCAAAGAGAGTAGCTAATGTCAAGGAGGTCAAATCCTTTGATTCTTCAATGGCTGTCACCTTTGCTTGCCATGATCTGTCCAAGCATTGCAGCACTTTTAAATTCAGCTCTTCCTTCTCAAATTTCCTGCCAAGGTCAACAAGGTGATTTATCAAGTGTGTAAATCTCTTTTGAAAATCAGAAATAGATTCACCATTTTGCATTCTAAACAGCTCATATTCTCTTATGAGAGTATGCTTTCTTGATCTCTTTACATCACTTGTTCCTTCATGAGTGACTTGCAAAGTATCCCACATTTCTTTAGCAGATATGCATTGTGAAATTCTAAAAAATTCATCAATAGACAATGCAGATGTTATAATGTTTTTGGCTCTCTTATCATGTTGGGCTCTTTTCTTTTCCTCATCACTCCACTCACTCCAATGTTTTCCCTTAAGCTCACCATCATCATCTCTTTTCATAGGAATATAGGGTCCATTTCTTAAAAGGCCCAAAATACACGACGTAAAACACCCTTTGTGTACCAGTGTATTTATATTTTTAATTAAAAATTATAAAGATATAAAGATAAATTAATTTTTTTTGAAAAATAATTTTTCTCTATATAAATCAAGCAAAGAAAGTAATTATTTTTGCTCCCTTCCATTCCTCTCAACCTATTGAAAAAACTCATATTTTATCTATCTTAAATCAATAAAAAAGAGCCACTCATTTATTTATGCGTCAAATTTAATAGTTTTAGACATCCATGATAGAATGTATTAAGAAAATTTAAGTTTCACATCTATTAAAAATGAAATAAAAAAAGATTATAAATAAATATAATCTTCATCTATAAAATCGATTTTATATATTTGAATTTAGTCCATGAGACATAACCCACACTCAAGAGAAACAGAAGCAAACAAATTTTTTTATCCCTCATGTGGTTTCTCTTCCTCTGATCAACTAAAGGCCCTAGAAAAAATATGATCTGAATGATAGAATAAAACCTTTGGAGGAACATATCGCTTGTTGATCTGACCAGCACCTTCATTCTTTTCGTTATAAGAAACAGTCTGATCAAGTGGGTCTTTTGATCCGCAAAGGCTGAGCTGCATCAATATCCATTACAAGATAGTACAGTAACAAAAAGAAAACGTTGTTTTTTAAGACGAGATTATTTTACTGGGCACATTATTCTTTAATATATGACAAAGATTAAGATTTACCCATATGCAGAGAATGTGATCTGAATTATTAAAAAAAATTGGCTCGATGAAAACAAAATATAAGAAAAGACATGAATTATTAAGCAAGAGATGCAGTGTTATGAGAAGTTGATAGCTTCTTGGTTTTGACAATTAAGACTGCAAAAGTCCAGCACAGCAAACAATGAGAACTGAGAAGCCTCAAAAAGGCAGAAACACTTGTGATTACCAGGTCTTTTCCAAGAGAGACATTTCAGAAGTTATATTTTTCAACTGTTTGTGTCTATTTGTTAATTTGCGGATAGTGTTGGAATGGCAGAAATTGTTGCGTTATATGTGTGACTCGGTAGCGATGGGTGAAGTCAGCCCCCACAGGAACAAGATTGAAATCATGGATACAAGAACAGTCACAGCATTTGAAGAAAAGGGTAAAAAAAATTAATGAAAACGACTTCACTCCAAATTTGAAAACCACCAATCTAGGGAGTGTCAGGTGAGTGTGAGGCTACAAGAGATTCAGTACCTATTCTATAGTAATTGTACAGACCGCCATTATTTTAAGAACGGAATACATAATCCTCTGCCTCCACAAACTATATATATCATATTGCTCACTCATTCGGATGAATTAATCTAATATAAAAGAAATTCAAATTGCTTCAAATGATCTGATATGTTCATATCATATTACAGATTTTGATACGACAACTGCTCATGTTGTGTAAGAAACTAAGAATGAATATGAGATTTATTTGATTTTCTATTTTTTAAATAATAAATCTGATTAATTAGTTCAGTTCATTTCCAAAAAAGAAAAAGAAAAACTACTAACATACCAAAGGTGGGAATTTTCTATTTTGCTAACTCTTAATGTTTGTTAGGAAAAAGAAAAGTATTCAACTCATTTAGTAATCTTTGGTAACATTAGAAAAGGAACAAAACAAAACGAAAGAAAAACTACACTGTCAGAAACACAATTTTGTACTCATCCGCCTTAAGATAGGGCAACAGTCTCACAAGCATAACATCTATCACAACTAAATCTACCCCACAACTTGGATCCAACTTAGACATGAAATTAAAGCATTAATTTCCTTTCCACTGTAAATAAAGAATATCGGCACTGATTTCTTTCGTATACAATATGTTAATATTGCATGTGAGAATTTTTTATTCAAGAATAAGTATTTTTACAATTTTAAAAATTAATTCTGTTAACAAACTACATAGTATTTTTTTATTATTAATTTATAGTATAACTTTTTTACATTGACTATGGATATTTAATTAATAAACTCAGTAGCACATTAAAACAAAAATTGGATGACATAAACTTTCGTGATTATATCTATAATTTTTTTTTTTTTTGTATCTGTGATTTTTCACGTCAAATTAATTTCTTAACATAATTATTAGATTACTAATGTAACTCGCGGGACACTTTAGTTAAAGTGCCTCTGAAGTCTGGATCGGGACGTCTAGTGTCTATTCTGAAGGGAGCCCAATGGGCTCAGTCAATTATCTTATGCTGGGCTCATTCTTAGCCCATGTAGTAGAGCCCGGCAACATAACCTCGTACCTTCACCTGTTTTACCGTGCCAAGTGGAGTTTCTCAAGGTATTCTTTCTTGTCTTTAATCATATATAGCCAGTTATATTCGATGAATTGAACTTTGTTTATGTTGTTCAACTTTTTAGGTAATTTGGTGAATGCCGACCTAATCCTTGCTAGAATATTCATCCAATTGCTTGTAAAAAATGAAGTACATATTTATGGCTAGCTAGTATCTTGTTGACATTTCTTCATCGAATGATTTAATATTTACTAATGTACATACATTAATTCTCTAGTTTCAACCCCATAATTATATACAAAGGTCAAGTGGTTTTTTTTTAATCTTTTCCCTCCATTTCATTTTTGTTCTTCAGTCAATGTTCGGCTGTCTGAATCTTTGAAGTTAAAGAAATTCAATAAAAGTTTTCAGCAAGCCTGTTTGAATCAAGATTTCAAAATAATTTTTTTAGGAAATCTTATTTTACAACCAAATTAGTCTCTCGTTATTTTTGTTGAGAATTCAAACTATGATTAGTCTATTCAAACAAGTTAAATGACTCGTCAAGTTCGTGATTCTATTAGCTAGCAATGAGTTGTGTGGTTGGCTACTAACTGAACGATCTGGAAGCATAGGAATAAATGCATCTTTGAGGGGGGAATCTTTAACAAACACGCCATCACGAAAGATATATTGTAGATATCCTGGCAATGACTATCTTCCTTCTCTAAAAACTTTAACATTTTGTTTGCATTATGGTGTAACAACCCTGGTCTTAGCATGTGTGAACGAAGCTTAGGGGGGAATCAACTTCATGGGTAAATGTTGTTTTGTCACAAGGTGCAAGAGAGTAGATGGAAGCAAGAAGAGTTGCAAACCACATTTACAAGATTGGTTAAACCATGACGGACTTTAAATCACAATAATGGAAAATTTAATTGGTTAACAGAACTTGGACCTGGAAAGCTTACTATTATTTGCAAAAATGTATTGTATTTCTGATCTTATTTTTATGTTCTCTCGTGTAAATGAGTTTGAGTACCCTTTGTACATGTAATCTAATACACAATTTTCAGCTGTTCAAAAAATAAAAAAAAAATAGCAATGAGTCACTCCCCCCAGTTTCTATAGCTTTCATCCCTTTGCAGATATTTGCTTTGAGCTTTTGCCTTTGAAATAAGTTAGGAAAAACAACAAAAGTGGTAAGGTTATGTAGCACATTGCATAAAAATAAGTTATAATGTCTGGAATGAAGAAAAAACCCTAAAGTTATATATAATCTTTATATTTACTCATTGTAACCCAAAAAAAAAATACTCTTTATATAAAATAAGTTAAATTTGCATGGTATTTAAATTCGAAACTTTTCACTTCAAATTAGATGAGCAAATATACTGCATAAACTAGAGGGTTTTTTCAAAATACAGAAAAGAACCGTCAAATTGTTAAGGTGTTCGGCGTCTTTATCTGTCTTCAGATCTTATAGCTGACTAAGAAATATGAAAAGTCATTTTGAACTTAAAAATAAAAAATAAACATATTTGAATAAACTTGTTAACAGGTACTTTTAGGAGATAAAATAAGAAGGAAAAAATCTCCAAAAGCTAAAATTAACTTATTTATATATGAGCTAATTTGAAAAAACTATTTTTCATCAGTTTCTTCAAAATATGTTTTATCCTACATATAGGTTAATTTTAGATTACAAAGAAGTTAATTTTATTTTTCTTTTACTTTTTTCTCTTAAAAATGTTTATGAGAAAATTAATCTAAACAGCCCTAAGTTAGCTTTCTAATGTAAACTAGAGCATCTCAATTGAAATCCAAGACTAATTTCAAAATTAAGAGACTCATATTAAGATTTAACTTCTCTTAATAAATATATTTTTATATACACAAATGAAAATATTGAATCCTAAAGGATAAAATTATATCCATGAATCATGTCATACTATATTAATATAATAATACTCCTCTAAATTAACATAATAGACAAGTTGTTTGATCGGTAATAAATTAATAACAAATAACAAGCACCTGATAAAAATAATTAGCATGCAACATAATAACAAGTCGCCTATCTTACTTTTCAACATCGTGTGTTCTGGTAATTGAAGGAGACCAAAACGAGAGAAAACCACATGAACTCGCACATATATATATATATATATATATATATATATATATATATATATATATTGTATGTTTTAGGCAGTAGAAACAACAAAAGCATCTTTCTATATAAAGTCTGAATTAATTCTTTGAGGCATTAATAATTTCTGAATGGAGGCCAGCGCTCCCGAATTGCCAATGGAAGTGGCACATGGGCTCCCCATGATCAGTGTCGTAGAGGATAGCTTCTGTGTCACTTACCCAACAGAAATAACAGTGAACAAGAAATACCGCGGTTTCTTCTTAAACCAACGATACGAGGTGTTGGATCTTAATGGTAATCTCTTGCTTCAAGTTGATGGCTCAAGCTTAGACGTTAGGAAGAAGAGGGTCATGCGTGATGCTACTGGTTCCCTTATACTTACAATGCGTCAGAAGGTAATTAATTCAACTATTAACTTTCTCTTTTTCTTCCACTCTCAAATAAACATGTTACATTAAAGACTAGTCCAACATGTTATAATAACATACTAGTCTTTCTTTTGAAAGAATTCACGTCTTTCAACAAATATTTTTTCATATACCTTAATTAGGATACGTTTAATGAAGAAGGTTATCTATTATTCATTTGTTGATAGGTGCATGTACATAATGAATATATATAGAATATGGGTATAATTAATTTTCTCATGAGCGAGAAGCATTCTTATTTTAACCTTACTGACTTTGGACAAGTAAAATTCATGATTCAAGTAGACTGGAATAAGAAATTGACAGTGTGATGATACGTTAAAGATTAAGGTGGTAACACTGCGGCATCGATGGGTGGTTTATAGAGGCGGAATGTCGGAGGAGAAGGATGTGATTTTTGGGGTTGAAAGATCGCACCCTCTTGACATGAAACCACGGCTTGAAGTGTTCATGGCCACCAACATCAATGAACATATCAGCAGCTTTCAACTTGTTGGGAGCCACATTGACAAGTCTTGCAAAGTTTACAAAGGAGACACCATGATTGCAGAGGTACGTTCGTGCATGCTTTTACAATTGTTTTGCAGATTTTAATCTTCGGCTTTGCATAACTATTCTTAATTAACGTATATATAGTGTTTAACAAATACTATTAATGTATTTTCACAGAGATTTTAATGTGCTACCAAAATGATTTTTAATAGTTTTTTTTATTAATTAATTTCTGAAATAACATAAACATAAAGCACGGCAAGCAAGTGGAAGGGAGCGTTGACTGAGTCAGCGGGTCAGCAAAGTACAAATTCCACGTCTAAAATCACAAAAAACTGTATATAAAGGCAAGTGGTCATTAAGGTCCATTTAGTTTACAGGAGAAATGGGAAAACAAGGATTTTAATGAAGAAGAGAGGAAAAAAAGGTTTAAAATTTTGTTTGATTAAAAAGAGAGAAAAAAATAACCTTTTTCTTATTTAGGTAAAAAAAAATGGGAGAAATTTTAAACTTAATAACATAAATAAAGATATTTTAAATATTATATTAAAAATAAAAATCAATTTCTTTTCTTTCCTCCCCTCTAAATTTCCCTGATATTAGAGGGAAGTTAAAATTAGATTAGAAAATTTTTTTGTTATTCTTCTTTCTTAAAATCTGAACCAAATAGTTTTTTTTCAAAAAAAAAATTCATTCTCTCATTTTTCTTCTCTAATCAAACGTTACGTAAAACAATAAATAATTTATTAAAATAAGTACTTACAGAAATAATAAAAGTAGGTAGAATAACTCGAACTCTCTTATTGATTCAAATCAATTTATGTATAAAATTCTGTCGGTTAACTTTTTAAATAGTTGAGATGACCAAAAAATTTATTGTAAAATTATTTTATTTTATTTTTGTCTTATAAATACATATTAAAAAGAATTAAATTGGCTCTAAATACGTGACTGAACTTAGATCATGAAGCGCAAAATTCCCGATTTTCCCTGAAAAAAAAAGGCTGTTTACACTACAGACCAAAGAAATTAACCAAATCATGTTTGCAGGTAATTGATGTATACCCAAGGAGCAACTTCAGCAAATGGACAGAAAGCTTTAGGGTGAAATTAAATGCAGGGGTGGATTTTGCTTTCATTGTTGCGTTGCTTGTAATACTCACCGTAAATGATTACATATAACTCTCATCTCCCTCCTGGACAAGGCTTATACTACTAAAAACATCATATATAAAAGAATACAACATACCAGAATAAAACCATTGATTCTATTGTTTGAATATTACAATGAAACGCAATAAAACTCTCATTCCTTCTTATTCATCTAAATTGAGAAGAAAAAGAGGAAGAAATAAACAATAAACAATAAATTAGATTGGAATAGCGCCATTATATTTTCATTGTATTCCATTTTCATTTTATTAATATAAACAATAAAAACAATACAATTAATGTTTTTCCTTTCCATTTCATCCTCTTTCGGTTCCCATCCTAGCGTGGCCTCAAGGCCTCGCCTTCGGATTTTAACTACCCACGGATATAATTAATCTAGGTTTTTTTTTTAAGGAAGAAACTAGGCATATACCGGGGAATTAATAAATTTAAAATTGTGATAAAGGTTTTGACCAAAACTTGGTCAAAAAATATATAATTCAATTCATTTTTTTTTCATTGGTATATTCCTCTGTTTTGACTTCTAACCTTGTACCACCATTGCAAAATCAAAACATCGCTAGTAAGGATGATATGCCCTTGTCTGACCTTGCAACCGCGTTAATAAAGTCATTTTAAAAAAATAAACTTTGATTTGACTTAAACTATAACGTAAAAGAGACCAAAAAATAGTTTTAAACTTATCACTCTAGGATAATTATAAAGGCCGTATGATCATGCTTTATAGTGAATGTGAAAATTCTAGAAACCATATAAATATATAACTTGGGACAGGATCCGTGGCCAAATATGAATCGATCAAATGTGGTCAAGTTGCTTATTTTAGACCAATTTGGTTAGTGAGCATTTGAGTATTTAAGCTGCCTTCTCCATTGAAAAAGACAGGAAATAATTGCTAAAAGAATTGATGGACCAAGTGACGAAACATACAATGAATAAATACATGAACCATTGACAGTGAATAGGACTAAAATATGATCTGTTATCATTATGGGTACCAGACTACCAGCTACCACCAATATGTCAACACGCGGTGTATTTGTACTTGGAATTCTTGCATGATAATGCTATTGGTCGCCATACTTTGTCACTTTTCAACATTTAATTTGGATCTCGCATTATTTGCATGCCCTTTTTCACCGTAACTTTGGATCTCATTTTATATGCATGCTTGGTATTTTACATTTTACATAGCTGTTCAGTTCTACAAATACGAATTTTACAACAGACAAATGATAATGACATCCAAACCAATCTCATCAACCCCAGAATCTCAACCATCAATTATCAAATGCGTCTAGAACTCTCTCTCTCTCTCTCCTTCTCCCCTAATCAAAATTTCTTTATGAGGCAAAATAGAAAAGGAAAAAAGAAAATACTAATTTACTGAATAGCTTTGTATACGTTGGTGGAGATAGCAATCACACTTGTTATTACAGCTACTATAACCATCACGAGCGCAATAATTTTGTCCCTTCTTGTTGATATACCGTGAAAATCTCTGTCATATTTTTGAAAAAAGAAAAAGATCAATATTAGACAAGACCGGGTTTTGTTTATTTATTTGACAATTGTAACTATTCAGTTGAAGAGAAAGGAACAAAATCATGTGAGATATAGATTACCTTAGAACAATTGAACCAGGGAAGACAAAGGCAAGGCACACTGCGGAAGTTGATCCCACAAACTGAAAGATGTACCAAATATCTGGTACTAAAATAGCAGCAGTGTAGCTTAAGACTAGCAGCACAAGAGTGAGGCTTATAAATCTCTTGCTGTCAGTGGCCAGCAGAGGCTTCTTGGGGAACAAGAATTCATCTATGTTGGTTCTCAGAGAGAAGTTGAGGAGAGGGAAAACCAACGTAACATGGCATGCATAGCTCAAACGGACTAAAATATTGAGCAAGGAACCAATTGCAGAACCAGCATTCTGGTCAAAATTCACGAGAATATCAGATTGTGTTGAATCCCCAAACAAGAGGTACCCAAATAGGCCAATGGAAAAGTAAATGAGAGCACAAAACAGCAATGCTATTCGAACAGCAGTTTTCATCTCAGATGGCTTGGAAAGCTCAAACCCAATTGGATGCACTGCAAATAAAACCAACTATATATCAACAACAAAATCTTTTAAGCATGGATGCTTTAAAGAAGGTGCAACAAAACCAGTAGTCGAAGCTAAGTAATTAAGTAAGTACATACCATTAAAATGAAACGTGTAGGCTGTGACTATGACTGGAACTGCAGTAAACAGATCGAAGAAAGAGGTATGGCGGTCCAAAGAAGGAAACAATCTAGGGGACTCTGTCTTTCCTTCTACAATAGCCACTATTGCCAACACAGTACATATTGTAACAAAGGCCACAGCAAGGAAAGTTGATACTGCAGAACTGAACTTCAATGACTCTGTAACCAGCAAACAATAGCATGGCATAACATCATAAAATGTTAGTCTTGGCTATGTCCATATGATCATAAATGTAATTTCATTTCCATAATCTATCTTAGGGCATGTTTGGTTTCACAGTTTTTTATTTTTATTTTTGAGGAAAATAGAAATTAATTAATTTTAAAAATATATATTTCATTTAATACAAAAAAATATAAAGGATATTTGTACATTTTCATAATAAAATTCATCTATTATGAGAGAAAAGTATTCAAATAAAAATAAGTATAAGATAGAATGAAAAGAATGAAATATTTACTAAATAAAATATTATTTTAATTCGTATATATACAAAAAATAATTTTGAATGTAAATTTTACACAAAAATATTTTATGAATTTTTATTGAAAATAGTCAAGACAAACAAGTTTTGTAAAATTTTAAATTAAAAAATAAAAATATTTTCTAAAAAAAAAAATAAAATTCTAAAACCAAACACACCATTAATATTTAATGCAAACCTTTACATATTACACATCTGATCAAATAACATCAAACAAATCCAAGGAATTGCATTTAAATTTTGTACTCACAAAAATTGTAGGTTAAACGTGAACGATTTATAAGTGTATTTCTTTGCAGATATCATCTAGCTACGTGCATTAACTAAATTATAATATAAAAAAAGGACTAATATTACCACCATCTAAACATTAATGACCCTGAAATATGAGAAATTATAAGGTAGTTAAGAAGAACCAAGTGATCAGAGTACAAACTAATTCACATTATTGAATGATATGTATTTAAATTTTTTAATCTTATTATATGTGATATGATTTTAGTTAAGAGCAATGTGGTCGGTCGAAAATATCTAATAAATTCTAATAAAATAAAAATTGAAAAGACAAACATGAAATTTAAATGTGGAAGGCACTGACCTACACGACGGAACAGAACCAACGGAAGCAACACGAAGACTGAGACAAGGAAAAGAGCAAATTGGCGCGAATTCCACCAGTGAATTCCAAACCACTGTTGCAGAACACCCAAGTGCACTTCCCCTTCGCGTTGATTCCCAGAAAACACATCCGCTGTTCATTGCATGAAACAAAAATTACTCGATCCAACTCCAATCCAAGTAACCAAAATCAAGTTGAATTCAAATGAAAGTGTTAGGTTACCAATAATAATAAGGTACATAATTAAACATCCGAGATTTGTGATGACAACAGCAGCTTGAGCTGCGACTGCTCCCAAGGGTCCAAAGGCCTCTCTCATCACGCCCGCATACGTCGTCGTTTGCCCCGCACGTGTGAACCGCATCAGAAACTCCACCGAAACTTCCGCCAGAAACGCAACCACCAGAATCAGCGCCAGCGCCGGAACCACGCCCAGAACCTTGAGCGTCGCCGGCAGAGACATGATCCCGGCGCCGATTATGCTGTTGGCGACATTGAACACGGCGCCCGGCACGGTCGCCGGCGGAACGTTCTTGGATCCTTGGAGGAGAGGGGCGTGTGGTCCGGCCACCGGCGACATCCCGGCGGTGAGTGAGTAGGAACCGCGAAAGTGAAAGTTTTAGTGTATACGTAGGAATAGTTGAATTAAATTAATTATTTATAGGAGTCTACCAATACAAATGATTGGTGTTGTTAGATTACGATAATACCGTTGGAGAGTCCACGCTGGGGAGAAGTGAGGAGGGTAAGATCGTAATTTGAGGGGATGGTGTTTGGTTTTATTATGAGAGCGTGTAATGTAGTGACAGGTTGGAGGCGGAGAGGTATCGGGAAGAATGTGGACACCAAAATGAATGAATTTGGACGGAGAAGTGGATGCTATGCTAATGCATTTACAGACTATTTTGTTTTCTTGTCATAATTTGTCAAATTGAAAGCCATATTGGATTATCAATTCGGGTAAAATATGTTTCTATTTTTCTAGAATTTCTGAAAGTTCGGTTTTCGCATTGAAGAATTGTTTTATTTTAATATTATAATTAAGGAAATACTCTAATTTAGTATTTTAAATAATTACTTTTCGTCCTCTAAAATATAGAATTACATCTTTTATTTTATTATGCAGGACCGGATCTGAGAGTTAAAAAAATGGTAACCGATATGAGTCTATCATTTATAGCTTCAAAAATAAAAATACAGTTTTAATTTTCTAAATAATTTTTTTTAATGTTAACTTTCTAGTCTTTTTCCTCGGGTTCAATTTTTAATTAATTAATCACAAATTTCAAAATTTTAACAGATTAAATATTTAATTTTTTCTAAAATATTAAAGAAATTTTCATCATTTTCTAAAAAAATTATATACAAACTATATGTTTTGTTCTGTGAAAGATGGACACTAGTAATTTTTAAACAACATATTTTGTTGATGATAAATAGTATAAGAATTTATTAAAAAAAATTAATACATACTTTTAAAGATTTATTAAAATCTTCTTCATGTAAAAAAAATGTATTATTTTTATTGAAATTATATGTTTATGATATATATATATATATATATAT